TATGTGAGGTAATACTAAAAAATATATTAATTAATAAATTCCGCGGTTTTAGTTTTTTTCTCTCTAAGTTTCAAATCTGAAATTGTCTCTAAACTGTAGTATATCTTTTGAATACTCTGAGAGCTTAAGCATGACGTCCACGGCAATCGGGAGAAAATATCACGTTTCAACATGAAAATAAAAGGTTTATTTTGACTTGCCATAATCGTGAAAAGTTGCTCTTTCAAATGACTAGCAAAGCAAAAGGTCAGGCACGAAATTCTTAGGCCATTGGTTCAGCTCTGCCGTTAGCCGTTTGCCTTAAACGTAATGCTTAAGGTGTTTCATAGTGGTTGGCACTCCCGCGCACCTAACATTTTTAAACGGCCGTTTGACCAACTTAATCTAACTCGATTTTCATAAAATAAACAGGAAATTGTTGTACTTAGATGGAAAATTTTCAAAAACGAATTGATTTTTTATTTACCGCAAAAATAGCAGTTCAGTATGGTAGAAAAAAAAAAATCAAAGAAAGCTGTTTTCCGGCCAATTTCGATGGCACCTAGAAAAACCAAAAGTACTGCGTGTAACTGTAGAATATTGCTAATAATATATTTCAAAATCAAGGAAATTGTTCTAGCCGATTTTGAGAAAAACGATTAAACATGTATGTGTTGCGTTTTTTGAGCTTTTACTAACACGCTCCCAATTGGCTCATATTCATGATAAAATCAGGGTCTGAATGGGGTTAACCGACTAGCGACAAATGGCCCACAAAATAACTACTGACTAGCGACAAATTTGAACCAAATTTGCTGACTACCGACATTAACAAATTTACTGACAGGCGACATTTTCCAATATTTAAAGATGTTAGCTCCGTGAATACAAGCTCTTTTTTTATTTTTCAAGCAACTACATTCGAAATTTTCCGCAAAAAAAAATAAATTTTGCTTCGGATTGGCTTCTTGAAGTTGTGATGAGCCACTCTATAACTTTAAGGACATCCAATTGACCAATCAAGACTTAAGGATTCAATTGTTGGCATTTTAGAAAGAATTGTGTTGGTATAAAGCACCGTTTTAGATGCATTTAAACTTAATGTTTATCAACTTTTTTTTAATAACCGACTACCGACAAATGCCTAGAATTTTAACTGACTAGCGACAAATGCTTGAAATTTTAACTGACTACCGACATTGAGACCCCCGACCCCCCCCAAATAAGACCCTGTCAAATGCCAATGTCTGAATCTCATTGATTTGTCATCTTGACTATACGTCATCACACAGAATGTTAATAAGTAACTTTATCAGTGGATAAATATCTTTCGGAGTCTGAACAGAAGGAGTATTAAATCAATGAATAACGGTTTAAACTTGACTGGGAATAATGAATAATTCACTAAAACTCCTAAAAAATAATGAATAATGAAAAACATTAAAAATATCAAAAATATCATAGAGAATAATGCATACCGGGACAATATATACAGAATAATGAACTTGAATATCAAAAATATATACAATGAATAACGGGGGGGGATAAGACACAAATAAAGCGATAAGACACAAATAAACACGATTATCTTCTCATATGAATAACCAACATATTAGGATGGAATATTGCTTTAAAAGTGTATTTTTTAGCGCACAAAAATGATAAATGAAAACATTTGTTAATTAAAAAAAAAAACACACAATGAAAATGAAAAAAGAGATGAAAAGTAGAGAGCACTTTGACTGATGATTCAAACGCTGTTGCTCCACTGAGAAGTTGCAACTGTAACCATGGCCATTCTGAGAAATTTTCCGACAAGTTTTCAGCCGACTTTATCGCGTATTAGTCAATGTCCTGTGGA